TGGCTACCGTGCTTACAATGAGGAACTGCCAAGATTTCTTTACAACAGACCAGCAAAAATGGTGTCCCACATAAAGAAGCGGTGGGAAAGTGACATAGAAAATGACATGGTCACAATTTTGTCTTCAGGGGTTTTCGAAGTACAGAGTTCGACGGGAGGGAATCAATATAAAGTAACCTTTGGAGATGATAAAAATTTCCCAAACTGCACTTGCCTGGACTGGAGACACAACAAGCTTCTGTGCAAGCACTTCTGTGCATGCATGAAAGCTTTTCCAGAATGGAGATGGGAAAAACTGAGTAACAAATATAGAAGCAATCCGCTGTTTTCCTTGGATGAAACTATCGTGCCAGCAGACAACACCCCACCTAAAAATCAAGTAAATACAGATCAGCAGCATACACCACCAAGAACCATAATGAATGAGACAGATACAATGGACAGCGATGATTTTGCACCACTACCACCTAAAAGGACTAGTGGCAAAAATGCTCTTCGTCTTAAATGCCGAAATTTAATGAAAGAACTTTCAAGCCTGACATTTCTTATAGATGACAAGGAGCAACTTTCCTCCCTTGTTAATGATCTCGAAGCAACATTAAAAAAAGCACGCAAAGAAGCACCACAGGAAACAGGAATTATCATACAAACAACGCACCCGAAGAGGAATCCCATTAGAAAAACAAATAGCACCAACACAAAAACTAGTCAAAAGAAACAGAGGAACATTGAAACACTAATGAAAAGATCATATGGCCGCCCGAAACATCCCTACACTGGCCGAGTTGGGAAGCATTCTGAAATTATGAGAAAAAACTACAAAGTGCATGTGCCACTAGCTGCAGAAAAGCCTAAGAAAAGAAAATCGTCAAGAACAGATATAATAGACCTGAGCTCACCCAGTAAAAAGCCGTGCAAAAGTCTTCCACCAAAACAGCCCTGGGTATGTCTTGCCAATTTGACTTTATCTCTGGCAGATAAAACAGCACTTACTTCTGGAAAACTTCTTAATGATAACCACATCAATGCAGCCCAAATTCTTTTAAAAAACCAATTTCCTAACATTAGTGGCTTGACAGATACTTTAAGAGTATCAAATCAACTTCCTAGTAAAGGTTCCTCAACTTCAATGTCGAACATTATTCAGATCCATAACATTCCTGGACATTGGCTTGTATCTCAGTCAAATGGACAATCAGTGATTGTCTATGACTCTCTGTATCCTGGACTGACAAGTCCTTTGTGTAAACAGTTGGTATATGTATACAAGAGTCTGGCAAAAGGATGTCTGTTGCACGTGAAACTCCGGTGCTGCCAGAAGCAGTCAGGTTTTGTTGACTGTGGATTATTTGCCATAGCCAATGCAGTAGCTCTTGCTAATGGAATATATCCTGGAGCAGTCATTTTTGAGCAGAGCCAGATGCGTCCACATCTACAGCAATGTCTTGAACAAAAAGAAATCACCATGTTCCCACATAAACTCAAGAAACAGCCATGTCACATTCGGGAGAGGTCAATCATGATAAAGTGCTGAAAATGTTTCTGAGTTGGTATTTAATAAGTTAACCACACTATATACTAGTCTTGTAACTATATAGGTACCTAGGGGTGGAGCCAGAGGAGGGCTGGGGCTAATCTACAACCCCAGTTGGGGACCCCAAGACCCAGCCCCCATTGGGGAAAAGTTAGCAATTTTATTTATTTATTTATTTACAACTTGCCTTTCAAGCTTGGAGCCTGCAACAGCTAGGGTCATTTATTGTCGGTCCACTAAGGCCATTTTACTGTGGGTCCACATTGTTGGGAAAGAAAATATGTTAAGGCGTAAAAAAAACCCCTGTGGTTCCGGTTTCATATTGTGAAAAAATTAGGGTCGGTAGGTCGGAAATAAATTTTTTTTTTGAATATTTTTTTCATGGTTTTGGCGATTTTTTGCTGGGCGATTTGCAGTAGAGTCCCGACATCAATATTAACTAGAGATGCGTATTTCCTATGGACGAATTTAGGCAATTTGGTTCAATAATTAGTGTGACAACAGACGCCATTTTGGCACGCTGTATGAGCAGCCCGCAACCACCTGGAGAAAATAGGGTCGCACGGTCAATTGCGTTGAAAAAATAATAGGGTCGGCAGAAAAAAATAGGGTCGGTCGGGAACCGGAACCACAGGTATTTTTTTTTACGCCTAAACACTAGTTCAAGAACTCACCCCCCTGTCACTGCTTAGCTCCTCCTGTCAAGAACCTTACCCCCCTTGTCAGTGAATTCCTAACATCACCACTGTATATAGACAAGTACAGTGGCAGTGTGCTAATTATCCTCGCAGCTGAAAGCTAAGCTGAATTGTAAATTGAAGGACACAACCTCAACACGATTGAGTCAAAGGCTTTCAAAGGGTACCTCCGGCAGCCACCTTACGATTAATGTCTAACCATGGAGCACAACTATGGTCAGTCATTGTGATAGGGAACTGCAGTGCCTGGAGAAAACCCACAACTTTCAGTAGAGCATTGGAATTCATGGCAATTTGCACTTTTGATTGAAAATGCCGGATCATTCCAGAAAAATGCATCCAAGGCAAAGTTTGGAAATTGTGACCTAATATTTTAAAAATTTATTTGACGTAAATTAAATTATGGGTTTGATTCTCACTGCATTGCAGACTCGTTACACCTAGTATGTAAATTGTGGAGTTACAAACATTATGTTTAGATATTAGTTTAACCCATTGAGTTGCACCAGTACTCGAGACCATTTCTGCCTATATATAATTACATACTGCAAGACGGCTAATGTCCCACCTATCCTTGGGGTGTGGGTATTACACCTTCCAATTTTTGGTGTATAAATATTATTATATTAAAAATTATTAACACAGTACAGACGTCAACAGTCCATACAGTACAGTTAACAGTTTATAGCATGTATCTACAGTTAATATTGAATGTCACCAGCATTACAGCTTGTATATACTATACAGTATACACTTGACCTATACGACATAGTCTATTGATATATCATATAGTTTATATTGGATTAGTGTTTATATTGTGTGTACTTGATATGTTTGAAATATATTTATTCACCAAATATTTATATAAAAATGAAAAATATATTTCTACTTCACCTTTAATTTTCATTTAGACACGGTCTTCTTTAGTACGACGATCAGATTAGAACAATGACAATACTTGTCAGAATCGATGAAGGATATTTTTGCTCGAAAAGGCGAGAGTCGAAGGAAAAATCAAATAACATGAAATCGAATTTTATATCCAAGTCTGACATTTGAATATCATTGTGCTTTTGGTTTTCCTCGTAGAACGCTCGTAACTGATTTCCGAAGATTTTGGCAAACTCGTACCCAGTCTTCTCGCGGTTACCTTATTTTGAAGTATACTATCTAGCGATTTCCATAAAGGATTATTGCGTCTGTCTGCCTTAGGAGTTATATAGTCGAATAATTCAGCATGATTTGTCTCACGTTCTCTTATAAGTTGACTAATATTGCATTAAAAGTGGTAAAAGTTGGCGTGCTAACCAAGATTTCAGTGTATTTGTTTGCTGATATTGCTAGGCCTATATCTCAAACGCTATTTGCCTATTAAAATATCATATGACACGCAATTTTAATTCCACGGCAAAACTGCTGTTGCGCAAATAACAAACGAGAGATTAAATATATATGGCAGTATTACAGTTTAGTAATATTTTGCATTAAAAGTGGTAAAAGTTGGTGTGCTAACCAAGATTTCAGTGTATTTGTTTGCTAATGTTGCTATATCTCAAACGCTATTTGACTATTAAAAATATCATATGACACGCAATTTTACAGTGAAAATACAAAAAGTGTCCCACTTCCGCTTCTGTAGTTTGTTGTGATTTACTGTATTAAATTTGTTCTGTTTTTCTGTAGCGATTACCGATTTATCGGCAAATACTGCGATAAAATTTAAATTCCGTTCCTTTTGTGCAATGAAACTAACGAAAAATGTATTATTTCCCTTTGCTACAAATTATCATACTTAAAAATAGAAAAAAACTAAGTTTTATCGCGGTATTTGTCGATAAATCGGTAATCGCTACAGAAAAACAGAACAAATTACAGTAAATCACAACAAACTACAGAAGCGGAAGTGGGACACTTTTTGTATTTTCACTGTAATTCCACGGCAAAACTGCTGCTGCGCAAATAACAAACGCGAGATTAAATATATGGCAGTATTACAGTTTAGGTATCTTTTAAATTGCTAATAGATCACACGGAAACTTTTACAATCGTTATATTCAAAAGCCTAGCGTGCAAATTCACATATTTGTGTTTATTCAAGTGTTATTCATAAATTCGCTATTTACATGGGAAGCGACGAGATATAACACGGTTTTTTTCAAGTATACCGTGAAACTCCACTGACAAAATGAGCCTGCACAAGTGGGAGAAAATTTGCGCATTCTGACCATCGTGGTGTGTCTTCTTATTACTATTAAAGTTAACCAGCATGGCAGGCTTTCTGGGTTAGGAGGAGGGTTTGGGGAGTTAAAGTTTACCAGGCTAGCCACATGTACGCATTGCGTACCTATTTTTTATTACTTTGATCGTTAAAATTTCAATATCAGCGTCATTAAGATCAAATCAATCTAAGGCGATAATTGATTTTATTTTTCACCCTGCTCGGTTTCCTTTGTTCTTATAGGGGAATATATTCAATATTCCCCTCTAATCAATTTCCGTTTAATAATCCCCTCTAATATTCACCTGCAATGTCTTAAAAAACAACATAACGAAGGCAATATGGCATTAAGAATTATTTCTATTCTGACTCGTTAACGCGACTTCGCAATGTGAAAAATAAGTACGTTATTTTGAGGCACCTCGGGGATATGTGTTTATTCACCTCGGCGCTGCGCGCCTCGGTGAATAAATCACATATCCCCTCGTTGCCTCAAAATAACCTATACGTATTTCTGATGAAGAAGCCGGTACCACCCTCAGATCTCTATTCCTATCCTTGAAAACCCATCACATAGCCATTTATGGCTATTGAACCAATTGGTATCGTGCCATCCATTCTAGTTTCATTGATTGCGAGGACATCAATATATGTCTTAATTTCTCATTATGATTCTAAGTTCGTCTATGTGTTTAGGTAGGCTAGCTATGTTTAGGCTTGCTGTTTTAAAGCCTCTAGTTAAGCCTAGTTTCCATTTGGTCGTTAGTTGTCGCTGGCACGACAAGTGGCTGATGTAATAGAGTGTCAACAAAAAACTCTGCAATCATTAAGACTGATTTGCATATCACACAAAAAGACTATTATTATATTAGACTATTTCACATCTACCGCTTGTCGTGCCAGCGACAACTAACGACCAAATGGAAACTAGGCTTAAGGGAATGTAGAGTCTTGATGTATAGAGACATTGTCATTATTTGATATAGTGCTACTTTGCCAGAGCTGTAGTGCCCCGTTAATATTTAAAGGCCGAGTCCCGATGCATTCGGAGGCAAGACGTATCAATGTTACCGTGGGAGATAATTAAAAGACCAATTGTTAGCTTTACAAACCTTAGCTAAGAGTGAGTTCACCTTCTTTATTTTGTCTAGCCTGTGGGCGGCTCACTGGGTAATACGCACGGAACCATGCATGCGTTCCACAATTTACTTTCTGTGTGTACGATGTTGCATTAATAGTGACCAAGCAGAAATCGCAGAATTGTTTTCTAATGTGCAAATACGATTTATATATACCAGTCTAGGGCTTTGTTTCGAATTCCATAAATAATAACTTTTAATAAAAATTCTATGATCAACTGTGTCAAATGCTTTGCATAGATCAAGGAAAAGGGCACCGTTTATCAACACAGCATCTATATTCAGTAGCCATGAATCAGTATTTTCTAAAAGAGCCGTTGTGGTTGAGTGAGCTTTCCAAAACCCAGATTGACACGAACTCAGAATTTATGCTCCGTGATCACTGATCAGACAATAGACATGAGTCATAAGGTGGCTGCCAGAATTGGCTGCCAGAGGTGCCCTTTATAGTAAGCCTTCGACTGACTTCGCAATTCAGCTTAGCTCTCAGCTACAAGTAAGGATGGTTACCACATACCCCCACTTATACTTACTTAATATATAGTGAAAACTTTCGATGAAGGACTATTTGGTTCACTAAGCTAATGTCCAATCTTAGGCTCCAAATAAGCAATTCCCATCATTCCTTGCGCGCTCAATGATTAAAATTCCGTTTGTGACGGTAAATTAAGGTTTGTTGATATTATTTAATTCTCATGTAAAAGCCTAAGCCTTATCCACACACTGACTTTAAGTTAAGCCACATTTATGCATAGAAATTCTGCGATTGGACTTTCTGGATCAGTTTTTGAGCTGAGACAAATCTTGACACAAATCAAAAAGCAACATAACAATGTCACAGTTCACAGGAGTAAAATACACAAAACTGATTTCTACCGCGGCCAGAACCATTAATTAAACATAAAAACACTCAGTCTAGCTAACCCATGAAATCGGTTATGTTCTTATCGCTCGTACCCAGAGCCATCGTATAATATTTCTATAATCACGTGCTACCCAAACGAGAGAGCTTCAACCGGAAGTTCAAGTTCAAATATCCTAGCCTACAAATATCCCAAACAATGTGATGTTTACAATTTACATTCTAGCACTCGGGAAACATCGGAAATCTAAACGATATAAAAGCAGACCCCGTGCGCTAATATTAACCCCAACGACCCTTGTACAAGCTGTGATTATATAAACAATGACATATTCGATTCTATATGCGTTGGAAATGACTTTCAACCTGACAAAACATATTAAAATAAAGATTTTACTAAGAATTCATACACATCTCTAAACAGTATGAGCGTTATGCACTTATGTCTCAATCAATTCCATGGGTGCCCAACACCCCCCCGGGCGTTTGTCGGGCTTTTGTCATTTTGGCGAAAAAACGTTGCAAATGCCCCAGTATGGGGGCCAAATAATGCAACAAAATCCCCACCCTTGGGGACTTATATTGACGCAAATGCCCCACCCTTGGGGGACAAAATATAAGTTTTCTGAGGATTTCTGATCCAAAAAATCGAATCCAAGCTCTATCACGTATCAATTTATCTGTATTTAAAATCGATTCTATAGGCATTTCGTTTTAAAACGTTTTTAATTAAAATATTGAAGTCTCAAAACTTTATATAGCAATATCAAACTGCAGAAGTAAGTAGGCTGGATCGATATACCGGATATATCCGATATACCGGTATTTGTTTAGATACCGGTTTGGCGATATTGACAATTTAAAAATACCGATATACCGACATTTCGGTATTTTGCTGCCTATAAATACCGAAATGAAACGCTATTTCAAGTCAAACTTGCTTACAATCACGTTTAGAAAGCAAAGTTAATACTCACAGATGCATGATTTTGTTCTAATACATTTCTAGCGGCTTTGGTTTAGCAATACCAGACGTCTTGTTTATTAAATCGCCTTAATCGGAAATATAAAAATGGCGAAATTGATTTTGGAAAGTGGAAGTACTAGCATTTGCGAAGCAGCGAAAACCTTTTCTGGCTTTTCAAGTTTTTTTTTATCGGGCAGTATAAGAAAGTAACTTTTTGTTGTTTTTAATCTTATTTAACTGACTGACATGCTAACTTGTTTATGTGTTAGTTTTAAAAATGCAACGTTTTTTATGTTTATAACTATTAGCAGCTTACTGAAACACTATCTGAATTTATATACAAAACGAATATTTTTCTGAATGATTCAACACTTCGACGCCCAATCGACGGCCTACTAATAATTGCCGCTAAGCGCTGTTAATTGTTAACATAGCTTGATAATGCGAATCTTGTGACATTTGCACTAATAACAGCATGTGCCACATTAATATTTTGTCAAAACTTGATTTTTCTTGACGGTCAGCACTTCAGTTTGGCTTATAAAAAAAACACGTTAAAAATACCGGAATACCGGTATTTACCGGTATTCTGATGGCGGTATATCGGTATTCGGTATTTGCGATATCGATCCAGCCTAGAAGTAAGTCAATGTATCAACAGGATGGACAAGAAAAAAGTCTTGTGTTATTCCGCCATGATTAATTTGCGATACGCACGCTGGTGTAAACATGCGTACTAAAGTACGCGGCTAAATGGCGAAACAAGCGATAAATATTCGACTTTTTAGCCTCGAGCAAATTCCCCACCCCGGGGCTAACCTGCAGAAAGCAAATGCCCGACCCTGGGAACAAGTACAGTTGAGAATGCCCGACAAACGCCCGGGGGGGTGTTGGGCACCCATGGAATTGATTGAGACATTAGCCTGTGGTCTATAGACGGTTCGTACGTATTTCAAGGATAAAAGGAACCGCGGACACGAAGGCCACAGAGCCACCGAGGATCGCGCTTCAGTCTCTCACATAGTGGTCAGCTGCGCATGCGCGGCTACCCACAAAAATACCAAATTAAGCATGCATGCATGGCTGCTGACAGCATTGCAAGTTGCAGTAAAAATTTCATCGCGTATCATGGCCTTATATAAGATTTGAAATGTTTATGAATTATGAGTAGCTATATATAAGTTGCCAAATTGTCAGTTTTGATAGCTGTTCCAAGCTAGCATAATTTTACATCAGATGTTTTGCGTTCTTCTTGGTTTATATAGTTTGATATTTTCGGGAAAATATTTGCATGATCTATAATAATAATAATAATAATAATAACTAGGTTACCCACAAGGCAGTAATGCTGCTTTTGACAGCAAAAGACAAAATACAGGGTGTTGAACGAGTCCTTCAGAAACATCCTATTATTGTTTAGCCTGCATGGCAGGCGGTTCCTAAAATTGGGCAAGCCTGGGAAATACCGCCTGCCATGCAGGCTAATTATTGTTATCCTTGTTAACCCATTTATTGACAGTACCCTACCACTGACTGAGTATTAAAAATCGTCTGGCGTTGGACAGGGTAAATACTAAAGTAGGGGTCATTACTGTGCTGATGAATTAACAAGAGCCATTGGCAGATAGGTTTGTTAACCCATTTACTGGCAGTATACCCTATACCACTGACGAGTAAAATCTTCTGGCGCTCGACAAGGGAAGGGCGCATTGCCAGATAATGGGTTAAACCACCGTGGTTAAACATAAGATTTCATGCTCCAGGAAATGTAAACAAGCTATCAGTGTGACATCCCAGTTTATATATTTATATACTCGGAATATTGATTTCTCGGTACATACAAAATTATTTTAAAGTATAACAACCAGCGAAGACGTACGTAAGGCACTAACTACCCTGCGCGGCTGCGCGCAGACTATACTGTATAACGACATATATATGTCATCCGTCCGGTCCGTCCGTCATTCATCCGTCCGTCCGTATCCGCGTTTTATCCTCACCCGTTTTTTAAAACACAAAGTTTGCATTTAATTAATTAAGGCAGTGCGGTTCGTCATGATCAATATTTTCAAAAGCGGCCAATTAGACCAGGGGTTAAAGGGCAATGACAATGACATGCAGGTGACATTTAACATTGCGTCTCACTAATTAAAATTTGCGTGTTTAATAGTGTTTATCAAAGAAAGCAAAAATATATACAAGACAATCTCACATGTGGAGTTTTTTCACTAACAGTACGTACTGCCTTGTGATGCAGCACAAGTATAAATACAAATGACAAAGCATTTGTAAATCCCAAAACATAATTAAATCATACGGCACATTTAAGATTTTAATATCGTATTTCAGCCGCGTTTATACTGTTTGGCGCATTCGCTGCGTTATATTCATTTACATGTATATACACAGAAAAGCTTAAGCATGTCATTGTCCTTGCAGACCATAGGCAAAAAGCATTTGTCAACCATGCACATACCAAATTTAAGCAATCGTTAAATCATATACATGTCATGGAAAGAATATGGAAATAATGTTGAATGAAAGCTAGCATCGCGTATATTAAAAGCACCGCATATAGTGCTCGAACCACTGCGTATAATTGCAAAAGCATCGCGTATATAAATGGTGAAAGCACCGCGTATAATACTGGAACCACCGCGTATAATGGCGAAAGCACCGTGTATAATGCCAAAAGCACCGTGTATAATGCCAAAAGCACCGCCGTATAATGCTAAAAGCACCCAACAAAATGCCGTTTGATCACTTTAAGCCAGCTATGGCTTTCCATAAAAGAAGACCAAAGATGAAACATGATCACATTGCCTGTTTGCCTTATGCCTGACCGCGCTGCACCATGGTTAAAATTCACTGGTACCGTCATGCAATGCGCCAAATAGAAAATTTTGATTTCGACCCACAAAACAAAATTAGGATCTGCTGCCTTGCTCGCTCGCTTCAGGCTCGCTCGCTGCGGCAGCAATAATAATAATCTTTTATTTAAACACGATATTAAGTACAGCGTAGCTGAAGTGGTCGTGAGTATACTAATTAGATAATAGTTAATAAAATAAGTTAAATTTATAGTCATCTAGAGTTTCTTAATAAAATTGTTCTTCAATGCAATATAACTATCTAAAGATCTATCACTATTTTCCAGAGAGTTCCAAAGGAGATGCAAAAGAAAGCGCTCAAAAAAAAATTCCTACATGTAAATCTACTGACGTTCTTCACTTCAGTATTGTGTCTACAGGCTTGCAAGATTTTGCATTTTTGAGCAGGCACATTTGCTTAAAAGAACACGGGTGAACAGTGGACAACATCACAGGGATTCTACCGCCTGTGGAGCCTATAACATTCGATAGCCAGTGGCGTTCCTTGGCAAAATTGTTGCCTCCCCCCCCCGAGAAAATCTGGGCTTAAGATATGTACAAGTTTATAAGTTATTTATACATATCTAATATGCATGGTGTAGAAAAAGTATTTTTGGATGGTTGAGTCTGTGTGCGTTTTTTGATAACATAGCTCCAAACTATTAAAGCTTCAAAGGCCCATCTACAGGATGCAAGTTGAAGTGTACTGTATATACGATGATTTTAATGCGAAAATGCCAGTTTAGAGTCTGAAGAGGATGCAACTCGATTCCCAACAAAGCTATCTGTATGAACGATTGAAAAGTTACAGAGCTATATTTGGTGGAACATTGTTGTTTCGGAAGGCATGCAGCTAAAAATCGCATTATTGAAATCTTGTTTTGTTACATATTAATCAAAGCTCATTTTGTGATTTTCCCTTGTTTAAAATAAAGGACAGTAAGTGTTCCTTAGGCTTAGTACAGCAAAGTTGTTGGACGAATCCATGGCTGAAAACGCAGGAAATAGCATTTCCGAGGTTCAAATTTTAAAATTTTCTCGGGGGAGCATGCCCCCGAACCCCCCAAGGTTACAGGCCATTCATATACTGTACCTCCCCCATTTTCGAATATTCTATTCTATCCCTGCATGTTTTAGGTTTTGGTACACTTATACATTTTTTGTAAGTAAACCTGCACGCTTTAGTGTGGGAAACATTAAGACATATAAACCATATAAAATAAAGCACAGTGAAAATTCCTTGGCCCCTCTTGGGATTCAGTTCTCTGACTGAAAACCCCGGCTACGTCTCTGACGATAGCTATATGAAAGCCTTAAGTTACTGGTTACTGTAAGCCGTTAGGGGCGGACCATTTGGAAGATTCAGTCTGTGCAAGAATTTTTTTTCGGCCCAGGGGAATAAGACAGATATTTTTTTCCTGTAAGCTGCAGCGCAAGATATTTTTTCCCAATATATTTCGCGGCAGGATATTTTTTTTGCCTCTCATAATAACGGCTTACAGTAACTTAAGGCTTTCATATAGCTATCGTCAGAGACGTAGCCGAGGTTTTCAGTCAGAGGAGGCCGAGAACTGAATCCCAAGAGGGGCCAAGGAATTTTCACTCCGCTTTATTTTATATGGTTATGTCTTAATGTTCCCCACACTAAAGCGTGCAGGTTTACGTACAAAAAATGTATAACTGCACCAAAACCTAAAGCATGAAGGGAAGAGTGGAGTACTAAAAAATGGGGGAGGTACAGTATATGAATGACCTGTAACCTTGGGGGGTTCGGGGGCATGCTCCCCCAAGAAAATTTTAAAATTTGAACCTCGAAAATGCTATTTCCTGCGTTTTCAGCCATGGATTCGTCCAACAACTTTGCTGTACTAAGCCTAAGGAACACTTACTGTCCTTTATTTTAAACAAGGGAAAATCACAAAATGAGCTTTGATTAATATGTAATAAAACAAGATTTCAATAATGCGATTTTTAACTGCCCTCCGAAACAACAATGTTCCACCAAACATAGCTCTGTAACTTTTCAATCGTTCATACAAATAGCTTGTTGGGGATCGGGTTGCATCCTCTTTAGAATGTTTTAAAATCTAGACTCTCTAAACTGGCATTTTCGCATTAAAATCATCGTACATACAGTATGTTCAACTTGCATCCTGTAGATGGACTTTTGAAGCTTTAATAGTTTGGAGCTACTATGTTATCAAAAAACGCACACAGACTCAACCATCCAAAAATACTTTTTCTACATGCATATTAGATCACAGGCGGCCCAATCTCTGAACGTCCTATACGGTATATTTTGAATATTTAACCGTTATAATATTTTAAAATAACAAAATAATTAAAAAATATTAACAATATATGTAAAAAATATATCTCACTTGTTAATAGAATGTATTTGTTGTGTTTCTGAGTCTAGTTGATGCGATTGCTTTACGTTTTCGTCGTACTTGAACGGTCGTCAGTACTGGCACTGGACGACTTGGCCATATAGGACATAAATAACCATGTCGTCCAGTGCCAGTACTGACGACCGTTCAAGTACGACGAAAACGTAAAGCAATCGCATCAACTAGACTCAGAAACACTACAAATGCATTCTATTAACAAGTGAGATATATTTTTTACATATATTGTTAATATTTTTTTAATTATTTTGTTATTTTAAAATATTATAAAGGTTAAATATTCAAAATATATAGGACGTTCAGAGATCGGGCCGCCTGTGATTAAATATGTATAAATAACTCATGAACTTGTCATATCTTAGGCCACATAAAATAAATTCCTTGATTCTCATTACTAGACTTTGAAAATGTCGAAGAGCCGGGAGGTTTATATTTTATATTTTATATTTATATAATTTATCATCAATAAATTAAAAACTGATAATTCCTAACATTTAATATTTCTGTGATTTCCAAAGTGAAGTGTCACAAACCAAAATAAACATATTTCTCCACGAACAATGACTGAACCCTTCAACTGAATGCGAAGTTCCGTTAAAATGCAATGAAATTTCTTTCAAGGTTCTATTTGTTTGAAATTGGCAGTTTAAAATGGCACTAAAAACTCAATTTTAAATATAAAAAACTTAACTGTCTTGAAATATTTTGTCGGGCGGTTCATTTATATTGTATAACAAAATATAAAAAAATTTCACGCGTCTCTTAAAATACAGTCGGGCGGTGATGAGAATCAAGGAATTTATTTTATGAGGCCTTAAGCCCAGATTTTCTCAGGGGGGGGCAACAAGTTTGTCAGGGAACGCCACTGGCTATCGTATGTTAAGCCTGGTTTCCATTAAATCGTAATCATCGCAATAGTCGCGGAACGCAGACATCGCTATCGCAAAAATCGCAGTAATTCTATCTTTGCGACTTTGTCGTAAGAGTCTTAGTTATCGGTGTAACTCAAGTTTCCAAGAAATCGCAGTTTTTATTAAAATTTTCGCGTTTTTAAAATCGTTGCGACGCTTCACGCTTGCGATGCGGTTCTTGCGATAATTACGATTTAATGGAAACCAGGCTTTATAGGCTTCAAAGGCGGTAGAATCCCTGTGATGTTGTCCACTGTTCACCCGTGTTCTTTTAATAAGCAAATGTGCCTGCTTGTGAAGTAAGAACGTCAGTAGATTTACATGTAGGAATTTTTTTTGAGAGCTCTCTTTTGCATGATATTTTTTTTCTCGATTGTATGCTGCATGATTTTTTTTTCTTTCTCCTTGGATTTTTTTTCGAAATCTTCCAACCCCCTCAAAAATCAAATGGTCCGCCCCTAAAAGTAAAAAAAAAATGTGCATTTAAGGCCCCGTTTACACTATACCGGATTACTTTTCATACCGGATTAATTTTTACTCCGAAGTGAAAAACAAGGGTGTTTACACTATGCCGCTTCGCTCTGTTGCCAGCTCATGTCTTTCACTGTCGCCATGTCGCTCATGTCTTTCACTGTCGCCATATACCAAAATTTATTAAAAACAAAAAGTGTTTTGACACTTTAATAGAACTGCATAATACATGCTAATTATTTAATATTTAATTATGTTAATTTTGGTCACGTGTTGTTTGTTTTAATCATACGATCGAAAGTCGAGGACAAAAGGGAACAACAACTATTTTGACAGCCAAATAATACGATAAAAATGTATTAAACCTTGTATGAAATAAACCTTAGAACATTGTCCGTGTCTTTGTGTTGCGAAGAGTTCACAACAGTCAAAATAGTTTGATTAATAGAGCGAAATGGGAAGTTATTTTGGGCGAAATATGCCAGATCAATAACAATTCCGAACGCGTTCGAGTAGTGACACGCTAGAAAACAAAGACATCGAGTGTTAAAGATCGCATCAACGATGGTTAAAATTGAAGAGTTAAATCGGAAGAGAAGTTCGGCGAAGAAAAAGTTCGACGACGAGGTAAAAAGCTTCGAATTTGTGCTAGAAGCTCGCCCGGAAATACATAGTCTTGAAGAGGCTTTTGGCGAAGTCAAGGTAAAATATAAAGCTGTAAGAGTAATACATGATGGAATTACTGACTTAATGGTCGAAGCTGACATTGAGGAAGCCGATTTTACAAACCATGATATTTTTATTACGGAAATCATTGCAAAATATGGCGATTTACTCTCAAAGTTAGAACAATATCGACGAAAATGTGAAGTAGATCAAACATCAAAGGGACTACCGACTGAAATGGAACCCAAACAACAGAGGTCTAATCTGGAGAGAATCAAGGTACCACAATTTTCTGGAAACATTAAACATTATCGAACATGGAAAAGAATTTTCGAGGACACTATGAAGAGAAATTATGAAAATGAAGGAAGTCAACTTGCAAGATTGATCGAAGCTATCCAACCCCCCCTGAGATATGAAATTGAATGTTTTACTACAACTAAAGCGATATGGGAATTTCTCGACAAGTTATTTGGAGACGACAAAGAGTTGATTAAAATTTTGATGAATGATATCAAAACAATGAAACCCTTGAAGGTCAAAGATGCAAAGTCGATTCGGAATTTGGTCGCAACAGTTCGTGGGTTTATTCTCAGAATGGAGGATGTTGGAGCATCTGACGAAGCCAAAAGTAGATATGTGTTTGCTGATATTCTGGCGAAATTGACGGTAGAAGATCAAAGAGCTTACGCACGGAGTATGATTGATACAAAGAAAATTGAAAGCCTGCATACCTTGTTGGAATACCTAGAAGAAGAGGCAAAAATAATGGCAAGTAGTCAATCGGATCAACGCTCTTCAAAAATTGGGATTTATCCAGTTAATGTGGACGGTGGTTACAATGGTGCCCCTGGTTGTGGTTTGGGTTGTTCCCAACAACATGGTTTAGGTTATTGTCCAGCATTTAAGAAGATGAAAGTGAAGGAAAAGTGGGAAGTGGTGATTCAGTCCAAGAGATGTAAAAAATGTCTGCGAACTGGACACCGACACCAACAGTGTTCGCGAAAGGCATGTGATATCAACAGTTGTGGAAGACCACATCATTACCTATTGCATAAAAATCCAAAACAAGTGGACAATGGCAATCTGAAACCTGATGCACAACCATTCAAACCAGATGAAGAGGGAGCTACAGGCACGGGAAAGTCCAATCAGGTTGGTGCAATATCAGCTGGTAAGCAGGAACTGCAAATGTACCAACTCAAAAAGTCAAAATGCACAGTGCCAATGGGAACTCTATTGAGGGACTTGCCATGGTTGATAGTGGTTCTAATAAGAGTCTCATTCGGAAAGAGTTTGCGGACAAGCTCGGTTTGGTCGGAGAAACAAAAAAGATGAAGATGTATGTTGCAGGCGGTGGAATTAGAGTTGAAGATTCTGCTGAGTTTGATTTAAAGATATCGCCCTGTTATGATGAAGATATTGTATTCAATGTGAGAGCTTATTCAGTCAAGCAACCGTGCCAAGCAGCCAAAACTATTTCAAAGAGTCAGATTTCCTTACCTTGTTCGAATTGTAGAAGATCTACATCTAAATGGCGGTCCAGTGGACATTCTATTGGGAACAGATCTACCGGAAGCCCATCGTGATTTTAAAGTTCTGGCGGGTAACCCTGGTGAACCGATTGCAAAGAAGAACATCTTTGGTTGGTCAGTCCTTGGTAATCTTGAAGAGAATAGCACACCTGGAATTTTTGCCGTCGAAACCATTGACGATATAATAAAGGACCAGGACATAAAGAAATTAATTTTCCAAGACCAATTAAGAATCAAACCAACTGGTTACTGTACATGCTCTGAAAAAGAAATGCGAGAATGTGCATTCATTCGACATGTTCGGGAGTCTACTAGAGTTTTGGATGATGGGAGAATTGAAGTAAGAATGCCTTGGAAACCAGAACATACCAATCTACCTAACAACCGGTCTGTCGCGGTCGAACGAATGGTATCGAAAGAAAGGCAGCTGGTAAAGAAAGGAAAGTTGGAGGTATTTAACAAGGAAGTAAAAGCTTTGGTCGACAGAGAAGTGGTCATTAAGCTGAAACAAGAGGAAGTAAACCCAGAGGAGCCGGCTTGGTATCTACCGATTGGAGAAGTGGAAAGTCCCAACAAGACTACCAAGTGCAGATTAGTTTTCGATGCAGCAGCCAAAATGGACGGACTTTCCCCCGATGATGCTCTTGAAAAAGGACCATGTCTTATGAATTCCTTATTTGATGTGTTGATTGGCTGGAGACAGAATGGAGTCGCCTTTGCTGGAGACAACTCGAAGATGTTTAATGAGATAGCTGTCCATCCGGATGATCAGAAATACCACAGACTCTTGTGGAGAGACGGAGAAACTGACAGAGAGCCTGCCATGAATGCCATTAATCCTCTCGCTGATAGAGCTCAAGTCAAATCACCAGAAGCAGCAAGAATCCTAAAGGATAATACTTATGTTGATGACGTCGCGGGGTCGGAGACACCACCAGAGATTGATCAAGATGGCAACGAGAATCCGGTGAGTCTACTGGGTCATCAATGGAACAAGAAAGCTGATAGCATTGCTTTGAAGAGCGAGACAGTGTATACAGATCTCAGTTATTGCACGAAACGAAAGGCTCTTGGTGTGGTGTCTCAACTGTGGGATCTGCTAGGACTGATGGCGCCAGTTACAATTCGGTTTCGAATTGATCTCCAGAATCTATATCAGGGGGATGAGGTATTGCCACCTGAAGAAAAGTTAAAATGGCAAAAGAATATCGGAGTTGGTGATCTTGTATTAGAAATTGATGGGAATCGCAAGAGAGGTGAGTGGCAAATGGCGTTGGTGGAAGAAGTATTTCCTGGTGGTGATCGTAAAGCAAAGATCAGAACGTCGAAGGGAGTCTGCGAAAGACCCATAGCGAAGTTATGCTTAATTGCAACCCGACAAGAGCTCGATCGCGAGCAGAATGAAACTTTAGTACAACAGAGTTAGAAAACACTGAAAAGACAGACATATAGACAGTAATTTCGTTGCTCAAACGTTGAGCTGTTAACGTTTCCGCACTGGGGAGGAGTGTTTTGACACTTTAATAGAACTGCATAATGCATGCTAATT